CATCTTTTCCTGTAGCTCATGAAAGGGGGGGGGGGGGGGGGGATATTTTTACCTAGATCAATGTGTCTGTAGAGATTGCCTCAAAATCACAGAATGAGTGAATTATCCGCTTTCAAAACCCACTTTTTATGCGTGTCACAGTAAATGTCTGCCACATGTTGTCTATAATACCATTAAAACTTTATACAAATTTCTGGTCAACTTCTTACGTTTAATGCTAATTTTCACACTTTTTATTGCCCATTTGATACGTATTTCATGTGTTTCTGGTCCATACTTATCTGGGCTGTGTCTGTATTTACCTTTCGGCTTGATCTGAAGGGCATTTTATCAGTGCAGACAAACCCTGGTTTGAGTTTTACATTCCAGAGAGCTGAATGGCTTCTGCTGTCTATAGGTGGATTTATTTGTATGGCTCTTTCTTTGAACTAAGTTTATGAAGGATTTTGTGGCTTGGCTTCATTTCTGTGTTAGTTTTAGCAAATTAAAGATGGTTTCCTCATGTAGATGTTATTTACTGAATTCAGTCTCTTGTGAGAGAGAGCTGTTGAGAGGATCACTCAAGATTTCCTTCTGTCTCTGTTGTATATAGAAAAGCACCAGGAGAATTCATTTGGGTTATTTGTGTAATGAAACTATTGGAATAGGAAAAAGGAAATGGGACATTCCCTTCCAGGTTACCTGCGATAGCACAGGTGAGCATCACCTTCTTGTTTTGTGTCCTTTTCCATCTATTTAAAGATGACAATGTAGATCGAAACCAGAGAAAATGGCTTGGAGGGCCCAGAGAAGAGAAAACAAGGAAGGCTCACCCAAGCTGACCAAGACCAACTCCCTCTTCCCCTCTCTGTTGAACCTTTTAAAGAGCTCGGTTCAAGCTGATCCCTTTGCCTGCTGGGAGCAAGGAACAGCAGCTTTCATCGTGCAGTTTGCTTTCTGCTTTCTTTGCAACTGTAGCGTTAAAAATGCTAACTCACTTTTGCTGACGTTGCAAGTGCATTGTTCTTCCTGGTGGTTTGTTGGGCAAACTTAATTCAGTGAGGTCTTTGGGGGGAAAAAAGCCTTTCTGGGTAAGTATTTGATCATGTATTAGAAATGGTTTCTCACTTTCATGCAGTGAGGCTATTTGGCTTTCAGATCTCTTTAATCATAAGATTGGCTGTTACAGTGCTCCAGGACCTGTAATAATCAAGTAAAATGTGTCTTTGGTGTGGTGTGGATGCAGAGGGTTTGTAAAGGAGATACTGAAAGACACACAGGGCTCTTAGTGAGGGTTACTGCTACTGCCAGAACAGTTGCCTTGAATATTGGTACAGCTAGATGGGGGGTAGGTGTCCATCTTTCCACTCCACTTTTAATGGAGTAACATGAAGCTTAGAATGAATTGTCTCCAGTGGGTTAAAAGTAGAATAGGATTAGAAAATGTGGAAAGAATAGATGTTAATGGGATCCTCATTAAATGCCTTTGTGTCCATGAATCAAAGACATGGAGGTAAAGAACCACATCAGCACCAGTGGCCTGAATGGTTTTCCAGTCTGTTACAGGATAACAAGTGAAATCTTTTGTTTTCTGGAAGAGTGAAAAATGCTCCTTTCACTTAATCCAGTGTGTTTGCTCTTTGAAATGTGTGCTCTACAGCTGTTTTCACAAAGCTCTGCTCCAGATTTACTCTCTGCTAGTAGCCTTCTTCAGCAGCTTCACCTTAGCAAAGCTTCTAGTTTGGGGAATGGTGCTGCCATGCCTTTGGCTTCCTGCACAGCTGTGTGCTCCAAGCTCGCTTGCTTTTGGGCTGAAGCTTTATTGGTAATTAACCTAATAAATCCTAAATGTAAACACAGCCTTTCCCAAATCCAGGGTTCTGTCCAAACCATTTCTGCTCTTGATGAGGCTGTACCTTTGCTTCTGCTTCTTGCCTACACTTTACAGCTAAATGAAGGAAAAGTATTCATGGCTTTGCTACAGGCTGTGTGGAGAGCACAGCAGGGCCTTGGCTCCTGCCTTTTTGATCGTTTGGTTTCTTCTTTGAAACCAGGTGTATGAGTTCCTAGCGTGTGTAGTGGGGCAGGAATGAAAGCTCTTTGCTTTCTGATGCTGTTTTCTGGCAGCTTGAACAGGCTTCTTCAAAAGCAAGACCAGGGTTCGAGCATTCTTTCTCTTCTCATAGCCTGCCTTGCAGCAACACTTGTGACCGTGTTTGCAGCCTGCTCACCTCTCTCATACAACAGAAAACAAACCAGTGCTCAAAAGCTCATTTTCTACCAGACTTTAAGCTGATCAGTTCTCCTGTGCTGTTGTGTGAGTGCTAGGTTTGATGCAAGAGAGAAGGGGGAAGCGGTTGCAGAGTTGGGAGGCCACTGGGTTTGGTGCTGGCTTACCATTAGCTTGGCATGGCTTGTGGCATTGCACCCTGATCGTCTGTGTCCCTGTTTATCTTGTGATTATGATTCATTCCTCAGGTATTTATTTTACTGGCCAAGTTGGAGGTGTTTAGGACTAGTAGGTGTTGCCATGTACTGTAAAATTTACCTTTCCAAACATCATAGGTGGTGTGGAAACGATCTTCTTTCAGAAGCTTGTGAAGTTGAAACAAGTGATAAACCAGACTTCTCTATTCTTTGGTTGGGGAGGTGCACACAGGTGAGGCATTTGCTTGTATATTTTGGTCTCTTAGAGGCCTCTCATTCCTGGCCTCTAAAGAAACAAAACTCGTAAGACAAGAATGGTTTTCAGAGATTTACAGTGGGTTAAAAGACAGGAAACAGGGTTAGGAGTAAATGCTTGTTTCTCACAGAGAAAGGTTATTCCAAGTGAAGTGTCCTGCCAAAGATGAGTACTTGTGCAAATACGCCCTTTTCCAGATGATTTCTGAATAATAAGGTGGCCAAATTGAACCAAATCAGTCAAATTTGAAATGAATTTTGAATTGAAGGATGGAGGATCTGCGAAGTGCTAAAATGGTAGTTGAAATGGCCTTAAAACATTTGCACAGGGAGAGGAAATGACCCTGGTTTCATGTGTAGGAGTAGAGGTACAACTACCAAAAGACAAGTAGACTTTAGAAAGTATTTGATAAAGAACAGGGAATCTTAAGCAGTCAATGACTGTGTTGTGATATGAACTTGTTACTGCCAACTCTGAAGTGTAGAGTGTTTGGAGCCATGTATATCTCAAGAAATAGAAGTGTCGTATGTGCATGGAAAGACATCAGAGATGATTTGAGATACGGAGCAGCTTCTACATAGAGGGGTTGAATTTTGGAAGACCCTCACTTCAGATGGAGTTGGCCAGTTTCCATATGAGTGATGTAAAGAAGCTGAAGGCGATTTGTTCTTGCTTAAAAAGCATCCCTTCTGTCTGCAGCTCAGGAAGTAAACGTCCAAGGTTAAAATAAGCTGAATTACTTGTGCAGCGTGGACCCTGCACTGCTGTTGTGTGCTTGCTGAGTGTGAAATGGGAAACACAAGTGGCTTCCAAGAAGGGGTTGGAAGAACCACAGTGTGCCTATTGCTGGCTATAGAGTCTCTGCCACAGGTTGCATCTGAGATGCCTAAGACATCCGTCAGGCAATGGAATATATATGTTCTTAGAGTCTTTGCATGAGGATTTGTGTCTGAGGATGTTGGGCTTGGTGGATGTTTTATCAAACTGATGTAGGAGGGTTTGATTTCATGTTCTTTAGTGCTTCTCTGCTCAGGTGACAGGCTCAGCCCTTATGGGGGGGGGTGTATTCTTCTGATCTGGGATACGTATCATCAGTACATCAGTGTTGGTATATGCCTTTATGGTAAGAAAGTCATCACAGAGCTGCATGTTGTCCACGCTGACGCTTAATTCTGCTTTCATTCTAAATGGCACCAGAGCAATTTGAAGAATCATAACAATGTTAGACTGGAAGTCTGTGCTTTGCTTCTCTCCAGTGCCTTTTGTAAGTGATACGGTTGCTTCTTCAGTGTTTGGAGAAACATTGCTGGAGGACATCTTGACTGTGCAATCTCTATTAAACATGGCAAGTTCCCTTACAGGATCAGTGCTTAGGGTTCATGCAACTGGCGAATATCAAAGACTATTCTGTGTTAATGTAATAGCAAAATCTGCCAGTTTACTCCAGTAATGTATTCTGAAGCTTAATAGGCCTCTGTTTACTTGAAACGGTGACCTTAAATAGCTAACTGAAACAGCTTTCCAGCTCCACAGCTTGCCCTTGGGGGATCTTGCCAGTCATTTTGGCTTAACAATTCCATTTTCATATAATTAAAACTTCTTCTGTGCTGTGTGGAAGACACGCAGAGCAGAAGCTGTGGATGTCCTGAGCGTTGTCAAACGTACAAAGTAAATGCATTTGGAAAAATAACTTCTCCTCTAATCTGCTTAGCATTTAAAGGTCACCTTCAGTTGGAGGGTGTTGTTCTGGTGCTCCTTTCACTGTGTCTCAACTGAATGCAGAGTCTTCTTCAAGATCTCTGCCCTGATACTGAGTGTGCTTTAAGCTAACATGAGGTTTCAGGTATAGCTTGGTTAATTTTGGGGCAGTTTGCTTATTTCTCTCAGTGCTCAGATTCCTGCAGCAGTGGTGGCAGACTGCAGTTGTCAACTAGAGGGAAGCTAATAGCTGCTAAGCATGGAATTTCTAACGTAGTTTCGCCTCTCTACAAGCCAGCATGGTAATTTCTGTAATTAAAAATCCTAGGTGGGTTTTACCATGCTGGAAACTGAATCACTAAGTGATTTCTTGGACTTGGTTTCTGTTTTCCTTGTAGAATTTGGCATTTGCATAAGCCTGGACACCTTCTTGCTTTGGTTTTGTTCAGGTTTGTAATCTAAAGTGTTTAGTATTACTTGTGAGAAGAAGAATAGTTTCCAAAATCAAATGTCTAGAAGAAATTCAAGGAGGAAATTCATCAGTTATACTGAGTTATTTTCCTAGAGTTCTGTAGGTTGCTTTCCATGTAGGAACAATTAACGACCCAACTAACATGCTTTGTGTTCTTTCCTTATGCAGGTCATGATTCTCGTTTTCTCGTGTCATTCTCTTGAAGAGAGGAAATGATTGTAGTGGAACCTGTTACAAATAAGCCACTGATCCGGAGCCTTTTCAGTGCAGAAGCTTTGATACAAGAGCAGATATAGCCCTTTCCTTGCTTGTGTTCTGGGATCTGTCTTCTTAAAAAGGGAAATAAAGATGACGACTTCGTCTATTAGGCGGCAGATGAAGAACATCGTGAACAATTATTCAGAGGCCGAAATAAAAGTTAGGGAAGCGACTTCCAATGACCCGTGGGGTCCTTCCAGTTCGCTCATGACTGAAATAGCAGATCTGACTTACAATGTGGTGGCCTTTTCTGAGATTATGAGCATGATCTGGAAACGACTGAATGACCATGGCAAGAACTGGCGACACGTGTACAAGGCCCTGACTCTCTTAGATTACCTGATCAAAACTGGTTCGGAGCGAGTGGCGCAGCAGTGTAAAGAGAATATTTTTGCTATCCAGACGTTGAAAGATTTTCAGTATATTGATCGAGATGGTAAAGACCAGGGCATCAATGTGAGGGAGAAATCCAAGCAGCTGGTCTCTCTTCTGAAGGATGATGAGCGACTCAAGACAGAGAGGGCCCAAGCCCTGAAGACCAAAGAACGCATGGCTCAGGTGGCCACTGGAGTGGGTAGCAATCAGATCACCTTTGGCCGTGGCTCCAGTCAGCCAAACCTATCTACCAGCTACTCAGAGCAAGAGTATGGAAAGTCTGGAGGATCCCCAGCGTCTTACCATGGCTGTAAGTACAACTACACAGACAAAAGAGGGTTTTCTTTCTTTTCTTTTGAGAGATTTTCTACTCTCTATGACTCCCTGGTGGTGGCTGGTTCTCTGAAGGAACAAGGAATAGGACAAGAGGAAACAGCCTCAAGCTGCACAAGGGGAGGTTTGGGTTGTATATTAGGAACAATTTCATTCCCAAAGGGTGCACAGGCATTGGAACAGGCTGCCCAGGGCAGTGGTGGAGCCACCATCCCTGAAAGTGTTCACAAACTGTAGATAAGGCCCTCAGTGACATGGTTTAGTGATAGCCTTGGTGGTGCTGGGGTGAAGGTTTGACTTGATGATCTTAAAGGTCTTTTCCAACCCAGTTGATTCTGTAGTTCTGATTTGCTTTCAGACATGAGAGTAAATGGTGCCTAGTAGGAGGATTAGTACGCTGACTGCAAGGAGCTTTTTGCACTGGCTGAGTCTCTGTAGGTCTGCTCAGTGGCAGTAATGTCTCTTCAAATGACTGGTTAAATATTTGTTTTGGAGAGGATGTGTGTATTGATGTGCATCAGTTTAAAAAGCAGTTGTTTACTGTCAGTTCCCCAAGGTAGCATTGTCAAGCTGCTTTTGTGAACACGTTCCAGTGTTTGATGTGATAAACCCCCAGTCTCAGTAGGGAGATTGTGAATTGATTTTGGTTTGTTTGTTTCTGGTTTTAAAAGTACTTGAAAACTTGTTCTCTTGAGTTCTTTAGGTATAATTCAAGAAATGAGAACTACAGAGTGTTTCCTGCATCATTTTGCTACTTTCTTTCTGATGCTGCTATTTTACTTTGGGAAGAGTATCGGTGTTTGATTTCCTTTATTGCTTGCCCAGCAGTTCTTAGAGTAGTAATGCTTTGAAGGTGTCTTATGTTTAAATATTTAGACTATCAGCAATTGCTGAGCAAGTATCGGTACTAAACACTGCGTTTCAGTCTTAAAAACTTAATACAGTGATGTGGGAAGAATGGATTCTTTATAACACTGCTTGAGGGAACTCCCTGTCATGTTAGGAAGAGGCCTGATTTGGCACTAAATCCTTCTTAATATAAGTAATGATCTGATGAAAGCTGCTTTGGCTGGAATGTCAGTGGTTGTGGTCTAATTCTGAAGGAAAAATCTTGTCTTTAAATGAATGCTTATAGTGTGTGGAGGACTGTAACTGAGCCAGTGTGGGGAATCGATTGAGCACCAGCTGGAGGAATCTGCAGTTTGTCATGTCCTGTGTCCCAAAGAGCTGCTCAAATTATAAATCCCTGGATGGGGTCAGGACCCCCAACGTGGCTTTCTGTGGAAGGTGGTAGGATGTAGCAGGACAAATGAAGCTAGAGATGAAGAAGATCTCTGTCCATGTAAAGCTGTGGAGAAGAGCCGGAAAAGTTGTTTCAAAAGGAGATACTTGTAGGATACAGGGTTCCAAAAAAGTGCATCAAAGTTTCCAGGTATGAGAATGTTCATTTTAGTGAGCAGTGGATTAACAAACATCATAGTTTTTCTGTAATAACCACACATGAGCATTGATTCAGTGTGGATTTTTAAAGGAGAACATGTATATTGTGATGAGAGCAATAACATTTTTGGCTTTTGAGGTCTGTAGCTCTATAGACTGCAACAAAAGTTCCTAATTTAGGAGATAGCTTGCAATAATGTTGCTTTTAACTTATACTGATGGATTGCAATAATAGTCACTAAGGTTTGCTGAGCACACCTTCGGTTTGTTCCACAGGATTATTTCTTCACCAGGTCTTAAATGTAATTAGTGCATGTAACTATTGTTTGTCATGTTAAACCCTACCAGGGGCTTCAAACTGTTCCTCACAGCAGGGATTAAGCAATGCAGGGTGTGTTCCTGAGTTGGTGTTCCTTGGATGCTGTAAGGATTGTGATGGGGGACAAGATGTCAAGAAGCAAGTATGGTTATTCTGTCAGCACAGGGTGTTGATTTACGGGATACTCTCATTTGCCTGCGGATGACTTTGATGTGTATCTCTCTTTGCAGGATTGCTTTTGAGGTAATGATTTCTTAATCTATCTTTCTCCTCCCCCATAAGCATGTACCTAAGAAGCTTTAGAAATCTCAGGGTTGTTTTTCTCTTTGGGTTCTTCCCCTGTTGTAGACTCCTCTGGGCTGAATACTCTATCAGCAAAAATGCAGATGGTTGTTAGTTTTTATGATCTGTATCTTTTGACGTTCTAATGATTCTTCTATGGTTTAATTGAGTTTAGCAAAGCAACCCAGCACCTTACAAAACAGCTGTGCTAAGTGCTTCTGGTAATGGGAAACTTTGTCCTTCATTTGAGGAGACACGGAAAGGACTTTCATCAAAATCCAGACCTTTAATCTCTTACATAAATTCTTGTTATTCGTGTGCCTTCTAAATTTAATGGAAAAGATGCTTTTCATTACTTGAAGTGAAAAAGATGGTATCCATCCTGTTTTGTTTTATTCTAGAATGAGAGCCTTCTTTTGTTCTGAAAATATGGATTGGGTATAATATGTAAAAGGCATTAAGTTATGCTGAGCTCCTGGGAAATCCTCTCCTTATAACAGTACTAAGATGCGGTTGCTGTACTGTGTATTCTGGCAGGATTCTCTTTCATTCCTCTGAGCCTTTGAAGAGGAGATCAGAGGCATTTAGATTTGCAACCTATAGCATGAGATTTGCCTATTAAAAATGTACATCCACCCTCTTTGCTAAATGTTGAGCATGTCTTAGGAACATTCAAATGGAAATGAAGTTTGGGAAAGTTTAACAACAGCCTGTTCACCACCAGAGCAAAATGAAATGTTTCATCTCTCAGTGGTTTGGTATTAGCGTGTTTTACTTCTGGTCCTTACTGGATGCAATGGGTGGGGATTGCAGCTTTTGGGAATGCATTCCCCTTACTTGAAAAGGTTGTGTTTGGCTATAAAATCTCCTCTTTTTTGATACTTTCCTGCTGAAGAAAAGCAGCTTGAGCTCGCTGGAAGAGCTTAATGGTTTCTCCAGGACAGATCACTAGGGGAACAAGAGAGTTCCAGAGGATAACATGTCTGGATTGTGTGTGAGGGATCTCTTCCTCCTCTGTCAGTTACTCAAAGTGCAATATTAGATACATCAGTGGACCCATTTTTATTCCATTTCTTCAGGGTGTTGCTTTAGCTCACTGTATAGCATTGGCTGTAAGAGTCAAACTACTGCTCTTCTCTAGCTCCTTAAGCTGGTGTCCAACAGTGCACATAGGAATGAGGTTTTGTATTTGATGTTGAGCCAGAAAGGTTTTTCTTGTAGAGTTGCTGGTCTTTGTGTCCCAGATTTATCCTTTATGAGAAAATAAAAGCAGTATGGATAGCGTGTCCAGAATTCAAGATGGAAAAGGATCTCTTGACCGATGCACCATCATCCTGCACTCTGCAGGTGGGACACACTGGTAAATAAGGACATTTCTCCGTGTCTCCTCTCTGATATTTTCATCTCATCTCTAACAATCCTTTAGAATCCATGGAAAGTGAAATGGTGAAGTCTGAGAGGTTTTAATAAAACCCTTTCCCCCAAAGCTTTGCCTTGATGGCTTTATTGGCCCTGAAGAGCTGCATGCTGTAAAGCTTGTGTAACTCTAGGGAGTGCTTAATTACTCACTATCAATGCAAACATTTGTAAAAGTATCGCTATGGCTTTGCTATCTGGTCTCATAATCTGTGAATTGAAGCCAAGAGAGAGATTGTAAAGCTGAACCAAAATAAAGCTCCTCCCAACCTCCATCTTGTCAACATACTGGGGACGGTTGGCTGTCTTCCTGCTTTAAGCCAACAGCAATATATATATTTACATTAGGAGCTATTAAATATGCCATGACAAAATACATAGAAGTTTGTATTTCTTTTGGAAGATGTGTAAATTGTATGGAATTGCATGAAATCTGATAGCAGGTTTTATTTCACCTTAAAGGAATGTTCTTGTGTGGTGCTGAAATAAATCTGCTGGGGAGAGCAGGGGGTACCAGGTCAATATCCGAGATCTTCTGGGCGCAGTAGTTCTCTACCCTCAATCTGGTTTTATATCTAAATATTGTCTTTATGCTAGTCACCCAGGTTTGGAAACCTCTTGTCCTTAGCCTTGTTTCATCTACAGCTGACCACTTAAATAGGATTCTGGATTTATGGCTGCATAGGGAAAAGTAGGGTGTTCTTAATATAGACCTCTTGAGTCTGAACTGTGATGCTGTTTCAAGCCGGGGAGTGCATCTGGAGTTTACTAGTCTTGATGAAGTCCTTCATCCTGTTGGAACGCTCTGAGTTGTCCCAGTTGGGGTTGCTGAGGAAGCAGCAGTGCATTCTGCTGCAGCTCCCCATGGCTGGGTTCTTGTAAGAGTCAGAAAAATGATGGAAAACATGCTCTGCTTGGAGGGAAGTGACTGACAAAGCCAATTCCTTGGCATCCCTGCCCCCCCAGAGATAGTGTGCTTTGGCTTTGAAGGATCCCTGGGAAATGCTGGTCCTCTCCCTGTACTACCTGCATGTTTTAAAACCAAGTTTACTGAAGCCCTGCTTTTTGAAGAGGTCCGATCCTCTTATGCCTAAACCAGGATCTCCCTGTGTTATTTTGGGTCGTACACTTGTCCTTTCCTTTCCTTTCCTTTGGCCATCTGCTGCCTTGGGTTTGGGCTGCACTTAGAAACGTTGGCAGAGCAAGATGGGGGTGTGTTTTAACGTCCCGAATCCATTTACACAACTGCAGCAGGGTAGGAACAACGTGCACAGTGTGACCTGGTTTGAGAAGAGCACTTTGTCCAGAGGTAGGCTGCTCGGCTGGGAGATCAGATCCATTATACATACAGCCTGGGTGATAAAAGATTAGTGCAAGATGGAGTGAAAAGGGCTTTTATGGATCTTGGGGAATACCAAGTCTGTTCACCTTACCTGTGAAGATTTTGGGAGCAGTTTTCTTCAGTAGAAAGAACAGGTTTTAATATTTCCAATGATTATTCCCATTAAGTTCACTCGTTT